GGGACCGGGGCCCTACCCTTTTGAGCCACAGGTGCCACCCTGTAATAACTCTTAAAGTTTATTTCTGCTCTTTGTCACCCCTTTCTTCTGCTCCCCCATTCCTAAGCAACCACTGACCTGCTTTCTGTCACTGTAGCACAGTTTGTATTTTGAAGAATTTTATTTATTTATTTATTTATTTACTTACTTTTAGATATCAGGTCTTGCTCTGTTGCCCAGGCTGGAGAGCAGTGATACAATCACAGTTCATTATAGGCTTTAACTCTGGCACTCACGTGATCCTCTCACCTCAGCCTCCTGAGTAGCTGGCACTGCGAGCACCTACTATGACACCCAGCTACTTTTTCTATTTTTGGTAGAGATGGAGTCTTGCTCTTGCTCAGGCTGGAATTTAATTCCTGAACTCAAGTGATCCTCTGCTTCAGCCTCCCAGAATTATAGGTGTGAACCACCATACCTGGCCTCATTCTTTTTAGTTTTAACTACTTTGTGTCTCTCTATTAAAGTGCATTTCTTGGCTCGGCGCCTGTGGCTCAAGTGGCTAAGGCGCCAGCCACATACACCTAAGGTGGAGGGTTCAAATCCAGCCTAGACCCGCCAAACAACAATGACGGCTGCAACCAAAAAATAGCTGGGCGTTGTGGCGGGCGCCTGTGGTCCCAGCTACTTGGGAGGCTGAGGCAGGAGACTTGCTTGAGCCCAGGAGTTGGAGGTTGCTGTGAGCTGTGAAAGCACAGCACTCTACCCAGGGGGATAGCTTGAGGCTCTGTAAAAAAAAAAAAGTGCGTTTCTTGGAAGCAGCACATTGTTAAATCTTGTAACTAATCAATCTCACAATCTCTGCCTTTGAATCAGGCTATTTAGACCATTTATATTTATTATTATTATTATTATTTTGAGACAGTCTCACTATGTTGCCCTCGGTAGAGTGCCATGACATCACAACTCACAGCGACCTCAACCTCTTGGGCTTAAGTAATTCTCTTGCCTCAGCTTCCCAAGTCCCCCCCTTGGAATACTGGTGCCTACCACAATGCCCAGCTATTTTTTTTGTTGTTGCAGTTGTCATTGTTGTTTGGCAAGCCCGGGCCGGGTTCAAACCCACCAGCTCCAGTGTATGTGGCTGGCGCCATAACCACTGTGCTACAGGCTTCAAGCCTAGACCATTTACATTTAATGTGATTATTGATGAAATTAGATTTAAGTCCATCATCTTGCTATTAGTCTTATATTTGTCTCATCTACTCCTTGCTTATTTTTCTCTCTTTTTCTTTTCTTTTTTAATTTCTTTTTTTTTTTTAGACAGGAGCCTCAAGCTGTCCCTCTGGGTAGAGTGCTATGGCATCGCAGCTCACAGCAACCTCCAACTCCTGGGCTTAAGCAAGTCTCCTGCCTCAGCTTCCCAAGTAGCTGGGACCACAGGCACCCACCACAACACCCAGCTATTTTTTGGTTGCAGCCGTCATTGTTGTTTGGTTGGCCTGGGCTGGATTTGAACCTGCCACCTTAGGTGTATGTGGCTGGTGCCTTAGCCACTTGAGCCACAGGCTCTGAGCCTTTAATTTCTTTTTAAATGTACCTTTTTTATTTTTGGCCGGGGCCAGGTTTGAACCCGCCACTTCTGGTATATGGGGCTGGCACCCTACTCCTTTGAGCCACAGGTGCCGCCCTGAATTGAATATTTTTAATTCCAAGCTACCTTTCTTATTGCCTTAGTTAAAACTCTTTGTTTTGTTATTTTAGTGGCTGCATTACGCTTATAGTAATGTATTACAGTCTACCATCAAGTGACATTATACTGCATCACAAGTAATGTAAGAACTTCCACTCTTCTCCTCCTGGTCTTTATCCCAGGGATCAACAAACCTTTTCTGAAGAGCCACATAAATATTTTAGGCTCTTATAGTCTTTGTCATAGTCCACTCTGCTGTTGTTGTGTGAAAGAAGCCATAAGCAGCACATAAGTGGAAGAGCGTGTCTGTACCCCAGTCTGTACCCCAATAAGCCTTCATTTCCAAAAAAGGATTGTGGAGCCAGGTGCGATGGCATGTGCCTGTAGTCCCAGCTACTCAGAGGCTGTGACAGGATGATCTCTTTAGCCCAAGAGTTCAAGTCTAGCCTGGATAGCATAGTACGAACCTATCACTTAAATAAATCAATTAAAAAAATTCAAAAGTGCTAGAGGAAAACAAATTTATATAGCATGTATTCTGGCTATAAAAAAATAGAAGAAGAAAAGATAAAAGATAGTGGGCCTGGCTCGGCGCCTGTGGCTCAAGAGGCTAAGGCGCCAGCCACATACACCCAAGGTGGCGGGTTCAAATCCCCAGCCCGGGCCTGCCAAACAACAATGATGGCTGCAACCAAAAAATAGCTGGGCGTTGTGGCAGACACCTGTAGTCCCAGCTACTTGGGAGGCTGAGGCAGGAGACTCGCTTGAGCCCAGGAGTTGGAGGTTGCTGTGAGCTGTGATGCCAGAGCACTCTACCCAGGGGGATAGCTTGAGGCTCCGTCTCAAAAAAAAAAAAAAAAAAAGGTAGTGGGCCATACGCTGCCAGCACAGCTGATGCTACTTTACTCATGCATTTCATCCTTACATCTATTTTAAACCACACAATTCATTGTTCTTATTTCTTCTTTAAGCAGATAACTTCTAAAGAGATTCAGATACTAAGAAAAACTTCTTCTCCTTTTTTTTTTTGTGTGTGTGTGTATGTGTGTGTGAGACAGAGTCTCACACTATCAACCTGGGTAGACTGCTGTGGTTAAAGATCCTCTTACCTCAACCTCCAGAGTAGCTGGGACTAGAGGTGCCCACCACAATGCCCAGATAATTTTTTCTATTTTTTAGTAGAGACAGGGTCTTGTTGTTGCTCAAGCAATCCACCCACCTCAGATGTGCTAGGATTACAGGCGTGGGCCATTGTGCCAGGACAAGAAAAACAGAGTCTCAAGCTGTCACCCTGGGTAGAGTGCCATAGCATCATAGCTCACGGCAACCTCCATCTCTTGGGCTCAAGTGATCCTCTTGCCTCAGGTTTCTATTTTTTAGTAGAAACAGGGTCTCACTCTTGCTCAGGCTGGCCTTGAACCTGTTAGCTCAAGTAATCCACCCGCCTCAGCCTCTCAGAGTGCTGGGATTACAGACTTGAGCCCCCATACCCAGCCTAAGCTAAGCTTCTTATACATTCATCCATGCAGTTATTTCCAGTGCTTTTTATTCCTTTGTATGGATCCAAGTTTGCATCAGGTATAATTTTCTTTCTGCCTGAAGATTTCATTTGGTATTTCTTGTAGTGGGGTTCTGCTGTTGATGAATTCTTTCAGTTTTTGTATGTCTGAAAACATCTTTATTTTTGCCCTTGTTTTTACTTTATGTTTGTTTTTATTGACCTAACATATAGTTGTTTGCAGAAAAATTTTCCATGTGTACAAGAGAAGAATATATTTTGTTGTTGTTGGGTGGAGTGTTCTATAGATGTCTATTTGTTCTAGTTGGATTATGTTATATCAATTTTCTTTTTTTTTTTTGGTAGAGACAGAGTCTCACTTTATCATCCTCGGTAGAGTGCTGTGGCATCACACGGCTCACAGCAACCTCCAACTCATGGGCTTAGGTGATTCTCTGGCCTCAGCCTCCTGAGTAGCTGGGACTGCAGGTGCCCACTACAACGCCCGGCTATTTTTTTGGTTACAGTTAGGCCAGAGCCGGGTTTGAACCCGCCACTTTCAGTATATTGGGCCAGCACCCTACCCACTGAGCCACAGGTGCTGCCCATCAATTCCTTTCTTGTTTTACTAGATTTTTAATTTTTTAAAGCAATTTCCCTAGAGATTAAAATGAACAACTAAAAATGGTCTGATTTGGATTGATATCAAATTAGATGTACTGGTATACAAAAACATTGCTTCTAGGCGGTGCCTGTGGCTCAGCGAGTAGGGCACTGGCCCCATATACTGAGGGTGGTGGGTTCAAAACGAGCCCTGGCCAAACTGCAACAACAACAACAAAAAAACCCAGCCGGGCGTCGTGGCGGATGCTTGTGGTGCTAGCTACTCAGGAGGCTGAAGCAAGAGAATCGCCTAAGCTCAAGAGCTGGAGGTTGCTGTGAGCTGTGACGCTATGGCACTCTACCAAGGGCGACAAAGTGAAACTTTGTCCCTAAAAAACAAACAAACAAACAAAAAAACCCATCACTTCATATAGCTCCATTCCCTTCCCCATTTTTGTGCTATTGTTGCCATACAAATAGTATTTTTATACACTAAGAGGCTACCATTTTACAGTTTTGGCATCTTGTGGTTGTCTTTTTATCAGATGGAGAAGAAAAGTTAAAAATAATAATACATTTATACTAAGGTGGGGTTTTTTTGCTTGTTTTGAGACAGTGTTACTCTGTTACCCAGGCTAAAGTGCAACCTCAAACTCCTGGGTTCAAGCCCTCCCCATCTCTACCTCCGGAGTAGCAGGGACCACAGGTGCACTCCTTCACTGTACGCACATCTTGGCATCCTTTATGAGTCCACAGAGAAAATTTCTATCTGTGGAACTTCTGGGGCTGAGGGTTTGCACATTCACATTTTACACACGTGGCTTTCAGGCCCTCCACTGTACACTTTCACCATCAGCAATGAGCCAACAATGGGGCAGACTTTATATTTTAAACTTAATTATTTATGTTCTTTTTTTTAATAGACTCAGCAAAAGTCCAGAGGATTATTTGTATTTTGCAGTTTCCCTCCTGTCTTTTGTGAAGGGAAATTCCATGTTATGAGACCATTTGCAAATATCTGGAGACCTATCCTTCAATAATGTCCAAGTCTTTATGTCCCACTTAGTTTTTAGGTTTTTTTCTCCAAGCATTCTAAATCATCCCAGAGAGATATCCCAGATTTCCTTCTTTCCAATCCTTATAGTATTTTTGACTGTTGGTTTTTGGTTTCCTTCTTTCTCTTCAACCAGGCCATAGACTCAGCAACAGCACCTCCTAAACCCAAAGAGTTACTACCAACTCCACCTTCAAGTGGATTTTCTACCAAGCATCCAACTACTGACCAGGCTTTGTATTATCCTGGTGGTTTGGGCCCAGATCAGACCTATCCAGGATTCAGTGGCCCAGGATACTCCTCTGAGGGGCTTACTAGCAGAGAACAAGTCAAGGGCGCCACTGTTACTGGTAGAGAACAGTACCCCAGAGCCACTGATGAAGCTGGCATATCAAGATATCAGCAGCCTTCTGTATCCCAATCTAGAGTAGACTTTGATTATCGTAAGAAAGGAGAGAAGTTCACCTCACAACTTTTAGGAAGAGAAGTACGAGATGCAGGCCCTGGCCTAGATCTACAAGATTTAACCTTCACCACAGATCAGCATCATGTATACCCAGATCAGTACAACAGGTTTCCCATTGGCCAGAGTCAACCCTATCTAAGTCCATATAATTATGGACCAGGACCAATTAGCATGGATCAGCCTATATCACTACATCCTAGCATATATCCACCTGGTGTGGTACCCCTCAACATGGGTCAACTTGGTCTGATACCACCCACAATGCATGATCAGGGCTTGGTTCTACCTGTCACAGGTCAGCATGGTGTGGTACCACCACTGGGACCTGACAGAGATCAGCAAGGGCTGGAATTACCTAGAAGCACATATCAGCATGGTATGAGGCTTCCAGGAACAGACCAGCGTGGTATAGAACAGCCTGGTATGGATGAGGGTGGTGTGGAGATAAGCAGGGATAGGTATGGACTGATTCTCCCTGCCATGTATCAGCAAGCAGGGGCACTGCCTGGCATAGATCATGGATTGGTTCCACTTGCTGCATATCAGCCTGGTTTGGTACAGGCTGTACCTGGCATCATACGACCTGGCACAGAGCAGTATGGTTTGAGTCAGCCTGGTGGAGATCAGCATGGTCTGCTGCAACCTGGTGTATATCAGCCTGGATTGGTCCAACCTGATATGGGTCAACACAGTTTACTACAGCCGGGAATAGATCAGTCTGGTTTGGTGCGACCTATCACAATTCACCATGGTTTGGCCCAGCCTGGTGTGGATCAACAAAGTTTGGTACAGCTTGGTGCAGGTCAACCTGGTTTGGTACCTCCTGGTGTAGGTCAGCCTGGCGTGGTAACTCCTGGTGTAGGTCAATCTGGTTTGGTACCTCCTGGTGTAGGTCAAGCTGCCACGGTAACTCCCGGTGCAGATCAGCCTGGTTTAGTACCTCCTGGTGTAGGTCAGCCTGGCATGGTAACCCCTGGTACAGGTCAACCTGGTTTGGTACCTCCTGGTGTAGGTCAGCCTGGCATGGTAACTCCTGGTGCAGGTCAACCTGGTTTGGTAACTCCTGATATAGGTCAGCCTGGCATGGTAACTCCTGGTGCAGGTCAGCCTGGTTTGGTACCTTCTGGTGTAGGTCAGCCCGGGGCGGTAATTCCTGGTGCAGGTCAGCCTGGTGTAGGTCAACCTGGCTTGGTAACTCCTGGTGCAGGTCAGCCTGGTTTGGTAGCTCCTGGTACAGGTCAACCTGGGGCGGTAATTCCTGGTGCAGGTCAGCCTGGTTTGGTAGCTCCTGGCGTAGGTCAACCTGGCTTGGTAACTCCTGGTGCAGGTCAGCCTGGTTTGGTACCTTCTGGTATAGGTCAACCTGGGGCGGTAATACCTGGTGCAGGTCAGCCTGGTTTGGTAGCTCCTGGTACAGGTCAAACTGGTATGATAACTCCTGGTGCAGGTCAACCTGGTTTGGTACCATCTGGTTTAGCTCAGCCTGGCGCAGTAACTGCTGGTATAGGTCAACCTGGTTTGGTACTTTCTGAAGTAGGTCAGCCTGGGGCAGTAATACCTGGTGCAGGTCAGCCTGGTTTGGTAGCTCCTGGTGCAGGTCAAACTGGTATGGTAACTCCTGGTGCAGGTCAGGCTGGTTTGGTAGCTCCTGGTGAAGGTCAGCCTGGCATGGTAACTCCTGGTGCAGGTCAGGCTGGTTTGGTAGCTCCTGGTGTAGGTCAGCCTGGCATGGTAACTCCTGGTTTAGCTCAGCCTGGCGCGGTAACTCCTGGTGTAGATCAGGCTGGTTTGGTAGCTCCTGGTGTAGGTCAACCTGGCATGGTAACTCCTGGTGCAGGTCAGCCTGGTTTTGTAGCTCCTGGTGTAGGTC